GTCGATACATGGAAACACCAAGGGAGTCTCATTGGCTGGCCGCCAAGAGAATTTTGAGGTACATAAGAGGTACTCTAAACTATGGTCTATTTTATAATTTTGGTGAAGATGCAAAATTATTTGGTTATTCAGATAGTGATTGGGGAGGTGACCAAGATGAAAGGAAAAGCACAACTGGCTATGTGTTTTTTCTAGGATCAACAGCTTTCTCATGGACTTCAAAGAAGCAATCAATTGTTGCTTTGTCATCATGTGAAGCCGAGTATGTTGCTGTAGCCTCAACCGTGTGTGAGGCAATTTGGTTAAGAAATATGTTGAAGTCAGTGTGTCATCCACAAGTGGAATCGACTGTGATTCATGTAGATAACGTGTCTGCAATCAAACTTGCAAAGAATCCTGTTCAACATGGAAGGAGCAAGCACATTGATACCAGGTTCCATTTTCTAAGGGACCATGTGAAGCAAAAGACAATTGAACTTGTCTACTGTCACACCAAGGAACAAGTGGCAAACATCTTCACAAAGCCATTGCCAATTGAAACATTCCGGCTACTGCGTGAAATGCTAGGAATGAAGGCGTTTTGATTTGAGGAGGTGTGTTGGAAATTCAAATCAAAATAGGTTGCTATTGTTGAAAATCAATGTCAAAGTTAGGCATTGAAAGTTAGGCAATGTTAGGTATGGTTGAATAAAAATTATTAGGTGCAATTAATGTGTTTTGTGTGGTAATAAATAATCTTAGTTTAATCATTTGGTTTGCTATAAATACCCCAAGTTCTCAAGCATTGTAAATCATCCCATCCAAATCCCACTTCCAATTGTGAAGAAGCTTGTAAGCTTTCTTATTCCAATAGTTTGTAAACCTTTTCATATATCAAAGTCCAAGTGTTTAGCCAAAGCTTGTTGCTTCCCTCCTTTCTCTATTTCTTTCTTTGTCCAATTTTATTTGAGAGTGCAAAGTGAAAGAGGTGTGATAGAGTTTGTAAACTTATCACCCACATATTTTGGTATTGAGTTAGTAAACTGTCAAATACCAACAGCTCCATGGTCGTTGCAACAAATTGAAGCGTTGGGCAGGAATTTTCAGGCATATGGATAGAAGCGAGTGAGGGCTTCAGATAATGATTTCTTTAGAAGCTTGGATCTCTCGGCAACCAAAGAATGTTTGCCCTCAAAATACTTGTTATTGTCGTTGGGATAAAAGAGAAGTAGTGGGACATAAATATCCTGAAAGGGTTGATCGAAAACAGAAAGGCTCAAATTTCTAAGGTGGTGAGGAGTTGGCGATGATGGTTTAATTGTTTCCTTGTAAATGACTTGTATCTTCATCTCTGAACCCATCTTTTCTCTCCACCCTTGAGTTTCATAGCAAACACCTCCCAGCTTCATATAAAGACACAAGGAGTCGCCAATGTATGAAATAGGATCATGCATAAGCACTTTGTTTTATGCCCAAAGGGAATATCCTCACTAAAACAATGGAATCTATTGGTTTACTTTTTTTTCTTTTATTCTTTGTTAGATCTCTATTTGATCAATGAAAAAAGGAATAATTCTTCTTGTATTCCCTCTCTGTCAGGCTATAGTTAAGAGTTTTATTTACTTATTTATTATTACTACTTAAACCAGCATCACTAATTACTATATCAGAAGTCTTAAGTGTTGTGTTATAGAATGCAGGCCTTTTCATTTTTGGCCCGTCCTTGTTTACACTGTCGGACAAGCAATGACTATTATTTTAGACTGGATAGGGTTGACACTGCATTAGTCCAACAAAAGAAAAGAACTATGTATTGAAAGAACCCGAATTTACATTTTATTTGTAATTTGTGGTACAAGCTAAAATAAACAAGCAAGAAAATAATGAAATATCATCAACATCCAAGGGAACAAAAATCTAGGAATCACAAGGAGTGGCATTGTAGTTTTGATTTTTTTTCAGTACTAGTTAAATGACACTCGGATTCAGAGAAGCATAGGCAAACAGTTCCTCGCTGATTTCAAATATGCCCAATTCTTCTTCATTGAAAGTCAAGGACGCTTCTATGCCACACCTTCTCTTGCATCAGTCAACATAGCCATATTCTTGAATTCCATAGTATGAGTCACCCATGATTTCAAACCCCATGACATTAGATGACAGATATTTTCCCAAAAGGAAAATTTAGATGACAGATACATGCTAACTGTCACAGTTGACTTGTATGATTCCAAATCTCATGACACACGGATTGAGGTTTATGCTCTTTTGTCCAGTTTACAGTCCATGCATTTCCTTATACAGCAGGATAATTAATTACTAATTTTAAAAATATTTTTGTGTTGAAAATAATTTTATGCTAAATATACTTTTATACTAAGTTTAAGTCCTTGCATGAAAACAAAGTAGCATATAGCATGAAAAGATAAGTTTGAGTAAGTATTCGATTTTGTGATTAATTTATAAAGTGGAAGAGAGAGCACTCGAGTGAAATTTCCAAAAATGAAAAAGAAATAGGAAAGACCCTCACCCACTGGTGGAGTGAAAGAGGAGAGAGAAAGAGAGAGAAAAAGCTACAGCTACTGGTGAAAGAGGAGCGAGGAAGAGAGAAAGAAAGTTGATGGGACGTGTTGAACTCACGCGTGGTGTGGGGTTGGGTGTTAGGTCATGTCCAACGTGGAGCTAGTAAGAGGGCTCGTTTTAGCTCTCTGACCTCTAAGATATTAATATTTTAATGAACAGTACAGGGTCATATTTGCTTCTATATCCAACCGAGGGCCATAAGGCTCGTTTTTAGCCTTGTCACAAAAAACCGTCTCCACCAGAGAGCCAAAGGATCATAGGGCCAAACATAATTTATTATTTAAATTTAAAAACTACAACAACTTAAATTCAAATACAACAACTTAAATTTAAAAACTACAACTTATATTTAAAAACTACAATAGTAACTGGCCAAAAAAACCAAAAAAATTAGAACTTAAATTTAATGAATGGTTTAGTTATTTATAGGAAGAAAAAAATTTTGAATACAACGACTAGTCAGCTAGCCGTTAGATTCAAATTTTTGTTTAAGCATTCATATCGATTATAACCGACATGATTTTTTGAATTTTTGGCCAGCCCCAAGCTGGCTGGCTAGCTGCATGCAACCAGCCATTTGGCCCTTTCAGAATCTGTGGGGCCCATGCCCCCTCTGGCCCTCTGGACCCTTCGGTTGGAGATGGTCTTAGATGGTAAGTTATTGGACGTGCGTAATGTCTCACTATTTTATTATTTTTTATTTATCTTAAAAATTAAATAAAATTTGTTAAATGTTTTTGGTTAAGATTTAAAGTTTTGAAACTCTTTTTACTAGTTTCTCATAAACCAATTGGTAATATAAGGATTAGTCCAATTACTTTTAACATGAAACATTTTTTTTCGATCTGAGATTCATACTCTCAATACACGCCTAACGTCCATTGTTGTTTTTTTTGGTAGTAATTAGTAAATTAAGGGGTTAATTATACTAACAACCTCTGAAGTTTATCCTGTAACAAAACCCCCTCACTTTTGATAAATAACATTAACACCCCTGAAGTTCTAATTTTCTTTCCCATCACTCCTTAATGACGTATTTACCCCTATAATTAATTACTTGAAAATAATAATAAAATTCAAAAATTCAGAAAAAAAAAAACAAAAACAAAAAATGATTAAAAACAAACTCTATGGATCTTCTTTCCCTTCCATTTTCAGCCGCCATCTTCCAAAATTATTACTGCCACCAAAGACTCCTCCCCTCTCCTCTTTCTCGCTCTCAACCATCTCAATTCAGCCCAACACTCCTTGACGTTCTGGTCTTGAACTGGGGTGGGGGAGGCCATGAACATGAACATATAAAATCAATTCAATTGAGAATAATTTTGTGCTGTCACAGAGAATTTATTTGTTGAGAATTAATAATGAACGATATGGACTACAACTATCAACCTATTAATGGTTCTAGTGCTGGAGATCCGAGCACTCTCATCATCTCATGGCTTTCATTAAAATTACCAGGGTTGGAACTAAAGTAAGCATACATATATGGGTTGATTACACTAGAAAAAAGACGAATAAGAATCGATTTGCTTCATGAAACTGGAGAGCATGGCCAGTTCTCCACTACCTCCTCCGTTCATGTTTTTTTTATGCCATTAACGACATCGCCATCTCTTTCATTCTGAAATTTTCTTGTCGAAATCACCACCTCTCTCGCTCTACTATCTTAATTTCATCCTTTCCAGAAAGTTTTCTCATCGACCTCGCCATCTCTTTTGTTCAAAGCTTTGGGATTGTTCAACCAAGACGAAGATGGGGAGGGGGTTGCTAGAAGTGACGGGAATGGGTTTGTGGGTCGAGTGTATGTTGATGTTAGTGGCAGTAGTGGAAAAACAAACATATGTTAGATGGTTTTTTTTATTTTTTGGAAACACATATGTTAGATGTTTGGATTCCAATGGGAATTATACTTCTTTTATTTTTTAATGTTTTGTGTAATTTTTAATTTTTTTATAAAAGTTGTTATTTTGTTAAGTAATTAATTATAAGAGTATATTTGTCTTTTTATGGATTGATTTTCGACTAAGGAGTATTTATGAAAGTCAATTAAAACCTCAAGGGGTGTTAGTGTTACTTATCAAACGTAAGAAGGTTTTGTGAAAAGAGGATAAACTTCAGGGAATGTTTGTATAATTAACCCTTAAATTAAGCCATATTATATATACATATGAATATCTCTCATACCTAAAAGGTCATAAAAAAATATTACATAAAATTTCATTATAATCTTTGGAATTGATCATTGTGAGAATAAAAGCCTTGTGGAAGATTAGAAAACTAACTCTGAATTTGTAATTTTTGGATATTAATTAGGTTGTAATAATTTTTGAGTTTGGTTGGTGTGTATAGGTTATTTATTGAATCCAATAAACAACTAAAATGTTATTTATCACTGATAATTATTATTACATTTTCATAATAAGAAGCATCATAGGTCATCAACTATTCTTTTTTGTGTGTGAATTTCTCCATATATTTGTATATGCATACACTACAAAAAATATGAGCACTGCACACAATAAATTATCTATGCTTTTTGAGGCCAAAAAACACTAACAATTGTGCCCATAGACCAATAGTTACAGTGCAGCAACTATGTTTTGTGCCCAAAGGCTGAGCACAAGTAGGGGTTCTTTTGTGTCTCAGTTCTGACAGTTCTGACAACACCGACTTTTCCAAGCCATGTTAGCACAGTTTTGTTCTTGTGCCCAATAGGTAAAATATTAGAAAAAACCTAATTAAAATACTACAAACAAGCTTTTACAATTAAGTTCTACAAACAATCAATTCATACAAATTCAAATTTACAGACAAGCATTTCTGAACACTAGAATCTTTCCCAGAAAGCTTTTTACTTCATCCCATCTTCTTGTTCCACAAATAAATTAATCAGCCGATCTATATAGAATCTGGGCCTCTTCCTGCCAAGGTTATGAATAAAAACCGCAAAGATTAAGAAACCACACAACTTACATGAATATCAAAATAGATGTATTTTCTCTAAAATGATTTGAATTAGTTCACAATATCACCGGCAATTTTGAAAACTCATTCTTAACAGTTGTATTCATGATATCAGTAGGTAGAATGTTAAATCTAGAGTCATGTGATTTAATTATAGTCGTCAGACACCAGAATAAGTACACCATAAATTCAAACCACTTCCGCATTCCATCTCAAATTACACACAAACGAATACAAAAATTAAAATCAACACCTATTTGGATTCGAAACAGAAGCAGATCAGCATTAAATCTCAACCATTTGTAATACACAGTATGTCAAAATGAAGCTGGGATTAAGAGGAGTTTGATTTTACCAAAATCGAGGCCAAGGGATGGCTAGAGGTGGCCGGAAATTGGCCTGAAAGCCCAGTTTACGTCTCTACGAATCCCCGATAGATTCGAGCATGTAAAGCTCGAATCTGGTCCCTGGGATTATGGGGAGTTCGTTTGTGGTGTCAATCTCGTCCGGAAAATCTGGGGAAACCTGCAACTCATCGGAACAGTAGAGAACGTTAGTTCTCCGTTCAATCTCGCAAACGTGGAGGAAATGTCACATGCAAGGATAGAAAACAACTTAGAACATCGAAAGGAATTAAACGGAGGTAGTTACGGACCTTACCTAGGTAGGGAAAGCGATGAACTCGCCGGAACTCTCTCGGATTCGAGACGGAGCTCTGGTTCTCCGATTTGAGGTTCAAGTCTAAGTTCTGGGACTCTGGGTTCTAGTTCCGTGTTTGGTGTGAGGTTGGGACGAGGATGGTGGTGATTTGGTGTTCGAAGTCGCCGGAAAACATGGTGGCTGTGTTGCTCGGGGAGAAGCGAGCCAAGAGAGAGAAGAGAAGGTTGAGGGACAGAGAGAGAAATAAATGAGAGAGAAGTGAGAGAGTTTGACTGAGAGCAGAATGAGAACGGGAGAAGAGGAACCGAGGGAGAAGAGAGAGAGGTGTGGGTTCAATAGGCACACACTCCAAATAATTTCAAAGAAATGAGAGTGTGGCTGGTTACTTTCATTCGAATGGATTTCGACGCCGTAAGTTTTCAAGAACTGATCTAGTTGATAAAGCACTGTAATTTGACAGCAGAAAATATCGAATTTATTTCATCACCGTCACCTGGCAAATCCACTGTAATTTGACAGCAGAAAATAAATTCAGAAAACATCCGCTTGATCCAAACTGTGGATTTGCCGTGATGGTGATGAAATATGCATGGTGTGGGGCACCTTGATCAATAAAAACTAATACTAAAATATGATTTGTGTCCAGACTAGTGAAGGAAGACACGAACACTGTGCCTATAAAATCAAATGATTTAAATATATTAAATTAGAGGGCACGAAAATTGACACACCCCGACCTCGATATTCCCCGAATACCAGGATAGGCACGTGCTGGCCGACACCCGAGGGTGATGAAAGCCATTTATTGAGTACAAATACTGAAAACAAAGGATAAATAAGGTTTATAAATATAAAAGAATAATGAATATGCAAATAAGGACTGTGTTCAGAGCACACCTCTAATCTAGAACACTAGAAGAAAATAATATAAAATTGAATGAAACAAAGGAGTGGGTCCTACACCGAGAGGACTCGAAGATGCCGATGCGGAAGTGCCTGGACGTCGGGATTGTATGCCTCGATTCTAAGTCCTAAAGGGGGTGCAAAACAAACATGAGTGGACCAAGTTGATATATATATATATATATATATATATAAAATAAAACAGTTATCAATGTACTAACCCCTAGGTTTTATGAAAACACAAATATAATGATAAACATAGGTTTTCCGAAACCTAGCATGTCGTACAATGTCTCAAATCATAATTCGCATAAATAATAAACACTAGTGAATGTCCGATAACTCTTCAAGCCCCATGCCGGCTCCCCGTCTCTGAGCAGACTGTCAAAGGAAAATACACTTCAGGCCCCATGCCGGCTCCCTGTCTCTGAGCAGACAGTCAGAGGAAAATAAACTTCAGGCCCTATGCCAACACCAAACCGTCACCCGGGACGGACCGGATCTATCCCTACGTCCCGTAGCGGAAAGGATCACTAGGTAAGTACAAAACCAGTGAACATACATATATTGAAAGTCAACTTCATAGTATAAAGTCATGCATCATCTATACTATAAAAAGGTGTTCTAAACATGTTCTAAATATCATATCGTCATCCATCAGATATTCTATAAGAACATGGGTTATAGGAAAAATAGTAATAATTCAAACTAGCCTCAGTAAGCATGTTATCTAGTAAAACGTTTCATAAAACATAATCATCAAATCATGCTTTTCATGTATGCATTTATACTATCAAAACATGCGTTTTTAGAAGGGGTCCACTCACAGTACCTCGCCGTCGAAAAGCCACGTCATCTAGCGAAGAAGGAAACGCCACAGATAATCGCCCCTAAACACATAAAGGGTACATTTAGTCAAACTCTACTCAAACGACTGAATTTTGGAAAACGGACATCGGAAACGGGTTCAGGACGTCGAAATTAGCCTAGAAGGGGTCCCACACGAAAACCCAAAATGTCAACGGTCAAAGTCAACGTTGATCGGGTAAAGTTAAAGTCAACGGTGAACGTTGACCGGTCAAAGTCAAAGTCAACGATGACCGTTGACCGGGTCAACGGTCAGACCGGGTCCGAGTCAACAGGTCAAACGGGTCTGGGCTTGGATCCGGATTGGGTTAAAGGGTTTGGACTTGGGTTGGATCCGGGTTTGGGCCTAAGGGTTTGGGTTTAATGGGTTTAGGGTTAATAGGCCGAAGGCCCTAAAAGAAACGGCCCAAAGGCCTTTAAATTAACAAAACAAAAATAAAAAAATAAAAGGGTTGGGTTGGGCTGCCCAGGGTTTTGGGCTTGGCAGGAAAGGCCCAAAGGCCTTGGGTTTGGTGGTTCGCTGGATTCCAAGGAAGGAGAAGGCCGGATTTCGGCCGGAGAATTCTCAAGCTCCGATGGAGCTCAAAACTCAACCAAAACATGCCATTCAATATACCAAATTGAAGCCCCGAAGGTAAGGAATCGAAATATACCCTTGGTTCCCGTCATCGTGGTCGGAGTTGGCCGGAAAATAGCCTGGAAGCCACGGGTGTCTGCCGGAAACTGGGTAAGATTCAAATGAGTGTAACTTCTTCAATACTCAATGAAATTGGGTGAAACAAAAAGGAAAGTTGTAGTACTCAGCGAGACGAAGAGATTGATACCTTGCACGCCGGCCAACTCGCCGTGGTTTGGCCAGAAATTTCCTCGAAAGGGGTGGTGCTCGCCGGAAAACTGGGAAATATCTCCGAGGTGGTTTCTTCGTGATTTGACGTTTAGAAAAGAGCTATAGGTGTGGGCATGGGTGTGTGCGTGTGCGCGTTCTTGTCGGAGAAAATAGCACCGAGAGGGTGGATGGAGAAATCACAGAGGAAGAGAGAAGAGAGAAGAGAGACTTTTTAGAAGAAATAAAAGAAAGGGAAAGGGAAAGGAACCGGGGAACAAAATAAGGGGTGGGCCCCTTGGGCTCACCAATTAAGGCTCAAAAACAATTTTAAAAAGGAAAGTATCCCCCAAACTTTGTGAAAATACAAAAATACCCATTTTCTTACGTAAATCCCGGAACGGGTTGTTACAAAAATGTTTTTTGTGTTGTTGTAAAATAATAGAATTATAGATATCCGTAAATAATGACACAATTTTTGTGTTCAAATTTTAATAGGCACCAATACACTTTTGTTTAGACACCAACTAATGTGCCTTTTTATTCAGAAAGCACATTTATGATAGTTTTGTGTTCATTGACATCTAAAAGCACCAATATATATTTGTGCTCAATGAAATTGAAAATATATAATTTGTCTCCATTGGCACTAGCTGTTTTAGATTCCAATAGAACCTCACATAATAAAATCACTTCTCTAGAAAACATAAATGATAGCTCTAGCAACTGTCTGCATAGTATAAAGTGGTAACTTAAACAATTATGTATGTTTTCATCCTGCATGAAAAACAGAAGCATTCTAGAAAATAATTTCATCCTGCAAGAAAAATAATTTCATCCTACAATTCATAGTAAAAAGAAAAATATGGAAAAGTAAAAAGCAAATAGAAAAATTGATTAAAAATCCTCCATATATAATAATAAATCTAGTTTAAAACCCTCAATCATAGAATTAAACAGCCAGACACAAATACATATAGATCTAGAAAAATCAAAACCAAAATTTCCCCAATTTAGAGGTTGCAGAGTGCAGAGTGCGAATGTGCATGCAGAGGGCTGCTGGAGGCATGTACCTGCAAATTCAAAACCAAATTTAGAAAGAAAAAAATGATAGAAAAAAATTGAAAAGAAACTTTAATCCTATCAGATTGGGTTGAGCATACAAAGGTGATCGTACACTCTTAACATTCATCCAGAAAGTTTTGTACTTCCCATGTCCATCTGCTCATTGCTTTTTTTGGTCGCCACTAGCAGTGACAAAAATCCAAGGCAATGAAATAGTAGCAAATTAAAATTAAAGTTTCACATTCTGTGGATCTAATTAAAACTGTATAGTTTCACTCATTATTCATTGATTTTCGAAAGAGAAGGGAAATTGATAACTGGGTGTCTAAGCTTCGCAACCAAACAACGAATTGAAGAAGAAAATCCAAAAGACAATTAAAGAAATGTAGGGAAACAAATAAGTACCTTGTTGTTGCCTGAAGAACTCGATAGAAAACTGAATCTCTCTTTCCCCAATTTGGGTCCTGTTATGTCAGAGAGAGGAGATAGTTAGAGAACGAGCAGCAGATGATACTGAGAGAGTGGTCGAGAAAGGAAGACGAAGGAGAGTGGTTGTCGCCGTCGCTGGCAACCACCAGTGGTTGGTCGTCGAAGTCGGGGTGAGAGAGTAAGCAAAGGGGAGCTGAAGACGGCCGGAATGGGTCAGAACAGAAAACGGAGTGAAATAGGTTTTACACTTCAGGGTTTTGATATTATTTCTTCGGTATATTTTTATTTTTTATTTTAATACTATATGTGACGAATGGCATAACGTGGCCTTCTTTTTTGTTATATGATCAATTTTAAAGATCGTCACATATTAACATTTCATTCAGCGGTAAAATTTCCCGCCCAATAGTTTGTGGCGAATTCAAAAGTTTATGTGACACAAAGTATTTTGGTGTCCAATGAAAATTATTATGTGACGGTTTCTAAAAAAGCGTCACTTATTTTATCCAAATGTGATAATTTTTTGCGCGCCAAAAAAAATTCCGTCACCTAATCCATGTTTTCTTGTAGTGTAAATTTCGTTGATTTACACATTTCCATCCTATTTGCCTTCGATGCCTAAATCAGAAAAGTAGTAAAGAGAAAAAGAATGTACCTCGGCATTCTATAATCGCGATAATCACCGCTTCCAATTATATTGCAACTTTTCATTCAATTTTTCTTCTTTATGCTATATTTTGAAAATTCTTCTACACGTGATTTTTTATTTTTTATTCTTCCCGGTGTTGGAATTTACAAATGTACTTGCACTGTGTTATTGAACAAACATTGGAATTATGTCTCTTTACCTCTCGTCGCTGCAAACCAGAGTTACCAGCAAATGTTTCCGTTCTTGTTTCAAGTCTTTTTTCAGTCGTTTGCTTTTTTTTTCCTTGTCTGGATTTTCTCGTCTTCTGTGGACGTTAGATAAATTAGTTAGATTATCGCTAGTAAACAATAAAAACTTGGATAAATTAGAATTAGATGCCTCATTTTAGATTTTTCTAAATTAAACATCTGTTACTTTTCAACTCTTGATTAAAGTACTTTTACTTTCAATTAAACTTTATATTCCAGGTATATTCTTAATTTAAGTATTTTATAAATTCTTTTAAATCCATTTCTATGTAAAAAAAAATGCACTCAATAATATTCATTAATTTATTGCTATTTTTATGAAATCTCATCCCTTCCTCATTTAAGGATTCAATT